AATTGTAACTTTTAGCATTTTACTTCTTTTTATGTCGTGTTTGATATCCAATTTAAAGTCATTATTTCTCATGAGTAATTATAAGTTTCAATATTTTTATCAAGCAAGAAGTGGTTTTTGTTCGAGAAGTACAAGTAAATAGAAATATTGAAACTTAATAACTCATGAGAAATAGTTACTTTAGCTACCAAATACGACACAAAAAGTTGCAAATGTAAAATTGTAATTTCACGCATTTTTAGATCTAATTTGCTGCATGATAACTTAATTGCCATTTGTTATTCATATGATTTCACTCGTGTCGTTATGAAGGTACAAACACAGCGTGCAAAAGACGAGAAGACTCAAGTTAATAACTAAGATTTTTGTAAACTATTTATCGAAATAGTTATGAAATAAATTATATGACATTTTTTTTCAGCTTGTGACAGCAAAGGAATGATCTCAGATATACAAGGCGTTAATAAGTCTGATGTTGTGCTCCTATATGGTTCTAATTATTGTCATCTAAATGAATCAGGGTGCAACTGGAAGGTAAAATAAGATCTTCATTAATGCAAAATGTCGTTGTTTAGATCTGAGTGTTATAGTGTGTTAGATCAGTGAAGGAAATCATGTAGACATAAGTCAATCCAAGTGTTCACAATTGATTTGGCTACATAATAGTATTGTTATTTAATGAGTCATATTTCATGATCAACATAGAGTTAGGACCCTCGAAAGTAACATTCTTCAGAACACTTTTTCAACAGTAAATAATTCTCGACTGTCCACATATTTGTCAAAAGTGCAAATATAATATAGAGAAATTTATCAAATGTATGATGACAAGTATCACCGCCTCGGTCAGGTGATAACAAAGCCATGTTGAAAACAAAGAAAGGTCAAAAAAGCATTTTCCAATGGAATATTCACATTCCATGTATAACAGTGAACAGTTTACTGTACGCTTAATTCTTAGCCTAGCAACTCATTTAAAGATGTTTTTTTCATAGTTAAGAAAACAATGACAGAACACGCATTGTTTTCCAATTAGTTAGCCTAATTTTTGTACACAATTCAAAGACATGCTGTTGTACTATATGACAGTTGTTCATTACATGGAAATCCTTAATAGTTGACTTAAGCATATAACGGTCTATTAATTTTTTCAACGATTGTGCTAAATAACGTTTCTGACCACAAAAGCATTTTATTCCAGGAATTTTAATTAGATAAATCACACTTGGAAAACACATGTAGCTGCAATAAGTTAGTGGTTGAATTACTGTACACATATTACCCCTACCATATTTTTTCATGGATTCAATTGTTGACACTGATTAGACATGAAACCATGGTTTTGATACCTATTCCAATTTCCCTTTCTTTTCAAATAAGTGACAATACCTTCTTTAAACAGACAAGAACATCCATGTGCTGTGGCCGGAATTTTAGTTTTTGCCTATCAAAACTTATACAACATATTTCAGGGAATATTAGTGAAACTCGTTTTTGACCATTCGAAGGAGTGTTCTCTCAACATCGTGAATTCAACAATATTCTTGTAATCATAATCACATGATTCAGGGGTTAGAGTAAACTTTTGAAGGCTTATTATTATTATTATTATTTTTTTTTTTTTATTTATTATTTTCATACAACAACTAGTATTTCGATGAATACAAAGTATCCAACTATAGTGCATTTGGTTTTTTACTGATAAACATCCTAATTTATGGCCTAATTTTATAAGGTTCATTCGAAAATCGATATATATATATATTGTGTTTTAACTTATACTTGCAGTAATATATGTGTAAAATTATATTTTAGTAAGTTATTAGATTTTGACTAACGAAATTATCAGACGAATTGTAACTGAAACCGTTTTCTCTTTCAAAAACCAGATACACTATTATGCAATTAAAAGAAAAGGAAAAACAAATATTTTACTGATTTATTTCTCAGACGCTCTTGATAATACCAAACGCCAAGGAGCAGGCAGCGTTTTTATATGTGTTTTTAATTTCAAATTAACAGTGAGACCTTCAAAAACCGATTAAAGCTAACACCTCACTACACGTTCAAGAAGGTTTGAGTATAGTTCTTTAATAAATGTCGATAACGCTACACATGTGCTCCTGGAATATCAAACTTTGTTCGACAGTCTGATTAAAAAATAATAATAAAAAATATAAAGCAAACATTTAGACAACCATGCACGACTTTCAGGGGTCACATCAATTATAGGTCACCGTACGGCCTCAAACAATGAGAAAACCCCATAGTATAGTCAGCTATAAAAGGCTCCACATGAAAATGTGAAACTGTTCAAACAGGGAAACTTATAAAATTACGGCCTAATATTGTATACAATACAATATAAGTAAAAAAAATATGACAGACATAAGGATTATAAGAATGTATTCAACGTGTATAACTTCAAATAAGGTACGGCTAATGATAACTTTTACCACATATTATCATCGTGACATATAAACTAAAATATATGTTATTTGTATTTTAAGCTTCGGTTTGACGTTTTACTAGAAAAGATATCATTTGTTTGTTTACATTTTCCATCTCGACAAAACCCGATTAATTCACTCGAAAAAAATACGACCCCAACCGGACACTATACCTAATATCGATATTTGTAGTATTGTTGCCAAAACCTGCAAAAACATTTCAACAAGGAGAACAATATTTTATATCATTAAATGCGCTTTGTTGTATTTTATATATAATAAATTGGTGTAGATATGTATTTACATAGTCTCTCATAATTCTTTTAAGAATGGCACATACATATATTTTGCTTGTTTTTATATATGATTACTGTATATATATATATATAAATATATGTATCTTGTTTTAAATGTATGTTGTATGTGGTGAGACTTTAATAAACTATTGAATCTGAATCTACCTACTGTGCACGATTATAACAATCAGTAAGATTATGTCTATCCCTATTTTTAACTTTCCTCTGGCACTTTATTAGAGAATCTCAATTGTTGTCAGTTTAATATGTGGATGTTTAACTTACTTCTCAATTATATTTTATAAGGGTAAGAAGACGCTCAAGGTACTACATGTGCAGGGCGAAAAAAGTTCAAAAATAGCTGGTGGGAAGAATGCTCATTTTTATCAACTGGAATGTAAAACCGCTGGTTCATTTGTAGCATCAGCTAACACGAGTATGCAGATAGAAATGTAAGATAGAAAGTATCATCAGAATATCATAATACAAGATATTGGTAATTAGGCGGAATATCGTGATATCACGCGATCCTCGAAATTTCAAACAAATTCTATAAAGTACGAATAAGAATATATTGTATTCTAAAAATTCATAAAATATACTCAATTAATACCTGGAATGTTGATTAAAAAGTAAAATGCTATAAATCAAAATTTCTAAATATTTTTTGACTTCTGAAATTCTGTTTCAATCTAAGGATAAAAAAAGTAGTAAACGTTTTTGATTTTTTTTTATACTTCTTAATATTTTCATTTTTTTGCCTTATTTCAGTTATCTTTAACAATCATACGCGTTTATATTGATTCTCTTCAAATTTCATGCTTCACTAGTCACCTCCCGCGATATGGTGCCAGTGACTTCTATACTCAGATTGATCAAACCAATGACTCTAAAATTGGCATGTCATATCTTGTGGCAACACTGTGTGTAATAACAAACATGAATGATTATTTTATCAATTTACAGTTACTAGAAGTATGTACTGAAATCAAACGTCAAAAATTACAATGAACTGTTTAATTCGTTACAAAAAGCGAGGCTGGACTGTTTCCTATACTAGCGAGTACAAATAAGTTTTATATTTCTGACAATGTACATTTATTGTTTATATCCTGCAATTTACAACCGACGCTTGAAGCTTTAGTTGTTTAAATCTAAATAGTTGTCTATGATTTTTCAAAAAAATCGACATAGTTTTAATGAAGACCGCGAAGGGGACCCCAAAATGAACTGTTACGCAAAAAAAAATATTCACGTTACCGCTTGCTCAACATGGAAGCTGGATAACAGGAGACTTGATTTTACAATTTCATATAAAGCAATCATTATTTGTGCAATAGTTGGCTGATTGCAGGGAGCCCGGATAAAAGAAAGTCATTTTTTTTAATTGGTGCAATCGTATATTTATGGCACAAATGATATTATGCATTTTGAAAACTAGTGGTACAAACGTAGCATTGGCACAAAGGACGCATTTTTGGCGCAAAGGGATTTATATGTGCAATAATTGTCCTTATTTTTTTCATCAATTTAAAAAAATACCTCGCATATGTCTAAGTTTGACAACATATTTTGCTACATGGTATGTAATTGTTTTTGTTTTTGTTTTTTTTTTATTACACATACTAGTATGTTTAAAAAGAAAAGGCATCAGTAAAATCGAGTGGGCTGTTATTCAACCATCTCATGGGACAAGGCCATGTTGATGTGAAATGGAAATGTTCTCTTTATATAAATAAGCGGATACAATTTTGCGCATTTGTGCCAAGCCCTCTCAAGATATTGTAAAAGTTATTTTTCGTTTGCGATGGGTCAAAATTTCTGGCTTCCCCAACATACCACACTGACCTCCAGTGCCATTTGGAAATTCCTGTCCTTCATCCTTGACGGTACTTATTGTTTGATTTATCAAAATCCTGAGTATAAAAATAAGGAGATGTGGTATGATTGCCAATGATTGCCTTCATAAATGAGAAAAACTCATACGGTATAGTCGGCTATAAAAGGCCCGGATAGTTTGCCTCTGAACGTCCAAATTAGCAGATTAATAGAGACGATTAAACAGAAAATTGAGATTAGGAATAGAAAAAAGTTATTTGGTTTCATAAATGTATGCACCATGTTCTTTCTTTCTTTATTTTATATATTATATTAAATGGCAACTTATATATTTAGCCCATCAAAACAACCGTATACGAAGGCAACCATAACACCGACTCCACCAACCAAAAGCATATCGTTGACAATCAAGGACAAAAAAAGTAAAGCAAAAGCAACCACAGTCCACATTGGTGATCCACTGCTGTTACAAATTACTGGACCAGGTAACTGTTTTGTAGTACTAATTTCTAAATACAGACACAAATGAAGGTCCACAATTTCGTGTATCATTAACTGTGAATATCTTATAAATATCGGGGCATGTCGTATTTTATCAGAAACGTTCGATGAAATAATTTCTTGCATGGTTCAATCATTTTGTGTTAAAGTTCATTATATTTCTTAGTCCTGAACATGAATGAAATATTTGCCACTGGACGTTAAGCAAATAAAAATCAATCAATCATTGTATTTATTACTTTCTTATAAAGATTAAAAAGACGCAAAACACAATTTTTCATACTTACATTTTGTAAGTTGTCATAACTTAAATATATTTTTGCCTTTTTTTAAAAGCCCATTTATTAAATGTTTATGCCTGCAGTAAAGCATACCCATCAAAACGCCTTTTCTCCTCAACAATAAATATTAGCCATCATGATATAACCAAGAGTCCAAACAGTGTCGTTAAACAACAACGATCAATCAATTGATATGCTCGTATCTTAATCTGCTACAACTTATTAATATCATATAAAGATGAACGTCAAAACGATAGCAAGCTGGCTATACACAAACTTTCCAGCATACATCTATAGAAGGATGTAACGGTCTTCAACAACAGATAGGTGTCAAGTTTACCGACAAACTGAAGATAAAAGTGAAGCCGGTCAAACATATTCTTTTCAGCTATTTACCTCTGCATAAATATGGACTGTATGGAAAATATGAATAACGTTAACGTCATTAATGCAATATTAAGGATATGTGGTACGATTGCTAATGAGAAAACTATCCATTTAGACAAAAGATATGAACAATTACTTGTCACTATACGGCCTTCAGCAATAGACAACATACAGTCAAATCTGAAACAATTCAAAACAAAAAAAAATATTAACGAACTAGTTTCTACTACAACTTGAGGCTCTAAAGAGCCTGTGTCGCTCACCTTGGTCTATGTGCATATTAAACAAAGGACACAGATGGATTCATGACAAAATTGTGTTTTGGTGATGGTGATGTGTTTGTAGATCTTACTTTACTAAACAGTCTTGCTGCTTACAATTATCTCTATCTATAATGAATTTGGCCCAGTAGTTACAGTGGAAAATATTTTGTAAAAATTTACAAAAATTTACAAAATTTATGAAAATTGTAAAAAATTGACTATAAAGGGCAATTACTCCTTAAGGGGTTAACTGACCATTTTGGTCAAGTTGACTTATTTGTAGATCTTACTTTGCTGAACATTATTGCTGTTTACAGTTTATCTCAATCTAAAATAATATTCAAGATAATAACCAAAAACGGCAAAATGTCCTTAAAATTACCAATTCAGGGGCAGCAACCCAACAAAAGGTTGTCAGATTCATCTGAAAATTTCAGGGCAGATAGATCTTGACCTGATAAACAATTTTACTCCATCAGATTTGCTGTTAATGCTTTGGTTTCAGAGATATAAGCTAAAATCTACATTTTACCCCTATGTTTTATTTTAAGCCATGGCGGCCATCTTGGTTGGTTGGCCGGGTCACCGGACACATTTTTTAATGATGATTGTGGCCAAGTCTGGTTTAATTTGGCCCAGTTTTTTCAGAGGAGAAGATTTTTGTAAAAGTTAACGACGACGACGACGGACGACGGACGCCAAGTGATGAGAAAAGCTCACTTGGCCCTTTGGGCCAGGTGACCTAACAATAGAAAAATGTGGCGCATAAAATATGCTTGTGAGTGCTGGACCCTTACCAGGGATTTCCATGGATGAAAATTTAACGATGGAGGAACCTTCACTATGACAAAACCGCACGTCTACAGCGTGTCGTGATCGAAAGTATTTCATTCCTCCATTTCTATGTAACAGACTGATAGGTTGCTTTTTAATTTATACTTATTTTATAATAGAATAACCAATATTTTCATTAATTGTCATTTGTAACAATTCCAATGTCAAGCTTGCAATGACCACAAGCTGTCCTGAAGGTTCCCAAGTCGTTTTTTTTTTTGCTATTTTTGGTAATTGTTTAGGACTTAAGAATCGAGGGGATTTTTTTTTCACTGACAAGTCATGAACCGGTATCGACGATTTGCAGCATCAACAACAAGAAGTTATGTACCCGTTTTGTAAAACGTTGAAGAAAGATTTGGAGGTCAAACGTTTACAACTTAAATGGTTTTAATGACTTTAAATTGCAAATTTAATAGTAATATACTATGCAACATGCATCTTTCGATTCTGAATGTGAAACCGGATGTATAAATTTGATTGTAAACTACGAAATGAATTCGCAATTACGATACGAAATTTCTTCAGATTATCAAGTTTAAGTTTATATTATTCATGTATTTACTTTAAAATTGATTCAATATTATTGATAATTGTTGTACTCATCTTTTGTTTTGGCATAAAGTTATGTTCTGTTTTACGTCTTATTTTGTACTCGTTTAAAAAGGGGGATGCTGATTGCGTAAGTAAATATAAAAGCAGGTGTTCCACTTGTTAAACCTTTTTCTTCGTAACTGGATTTAAGATTTATTTTTTAATCTAAATTTTCATTAGCATTTGCTGAAACGTAATTAAATAAATCAATCGTCTATCTTGATCACGTGTTCTTCTGTCAGATGTGTTGATCTACCTGTACAAGTGATTAGCGATCTTTGGCCGGATATGCCTCGGGGCTTTAAACCTGTAATCAGGAGGACCCTTTACATTATAATACAATAAGAGTTATGCAATCACATGCAATTGATTGTCATTGATTACAAAAACTCCGAGGAAAATTCAATCGGAAAGTCCCTAATCACATGGCAAAAGATATGCGAAAGATACCAAATGGACATTCAAAACCTCCAAACCAAATCTTTGAATATATGAACGAAAAAAGTGGTGGTTTTTAGGTAGTTTTTGGTAACGAAATATAGATAACGGTGATTAAAATCTAAAACGTCACCTCAGACATTGGGGAAATACACACACCGTTAGGCATTACATCAAGTAATAACACAACGCATACACAGCAAATAATAGGATATTCATGGTCTAAAAGTTGTAAGCCAAACAAATCTCTCAATATCCATATGTTTCCAGCCGTACTACAATTATGTATATTTGATAGGTCGAATGTCTGTCAGCCAGTCAAGGGAGGCATATTTCCCTAACACAGTGCATATTAGATTTAAGAGATATGGTTAGATTGCCAAATGCTATAAATTAAGACTATAGGACAGAGATGTGACCAATTCCAGATTACCAGACGTCTGCACTTTTATCCGCTAACGTTGAATCGGAACTTCGGAAGATGAATGACAGTCTCTAAATATTTGTCTATCAACACACATGTTATCTTACATTTACATGTATATACGTTAAAATAACAGAGACTATGCAGAAGTAACATGAGTAATGGTATTATTAATGAATTAAGTCAACCTGTACATTCTTTTAGAAATATAATTGAGTTAAGTATTGTTTTTTTTTTACTTTTTTCTTAAAAGATGGCTATACAGTCGAACCTATTATTTGTTCTGCAAATAGTGTACTAAAACCTCAGAATGCCGATTATGTTCTATGGAAAAAGTAAGTTTTTGTTAATGATTTCTTAAAAACAATTACATAGCAAATCAAAGGATTCCATGTTAATCCTTTATTCAAGCTCAAAATATTTTGATAGCAAATTGGGAATAGCAGCAAAACGCTTAAGGTGCTTCCATTGTCTTCGCATTTGGTGGCTTTTTAATGTTATATTAAATCAGTTATGTTTTTTTTTTCATAGTTCAGTAAAAGACAATTTTAGATAATAATCATTTTAAGGAGAGGTAATTCCAATAATTTCTCGTTAGAATTCATTTTAATTGAAGTTATCAAATTTCCAGTGTTGAAAGATATCGATATTGTGGACACCCTTTTTTCGCTTTATTTTCAGCAATAATTCTTTCATAGTGATTTCAGAAATGTATCATTATTTTTGCTGTTTCCATTATCATTATATACATAAGTTACAAAATAAAAAATGTTGCAAACATAATGTTTTCAAACAAGGATTCTGATGTGCATTTTCTATTAAAAAATGTTTGAAATATCACGAAAAAATGTTTTTTTGCGAGGCCGAATCGTGTTCTAATCGTATGAGTGGAAAAAACTGCAATTAAAACCTTTCGTAATTCATGAACGCTGTACTCGTTCATTAACTGATTTTTTTTACTATCGTGTTAAATCACATCAAATCACCCATTATTTGCAAGCCCCTAGCATATAAAGACATGTACTATATTTAACATTTGGTTTATCTGTATAACTGATGTTATACATGTACTCTACTTTATACTAGTGACCTAATATGAGACAACTTTCAGCATAGTGTTCTTTTTTCAGTGATACATGTCGTTCAAATGATCTAGCTGTAATAGAAAATACCTGGAAGCATGACATCACTTCCAATCGTACAATTACAATAGATATGTATGGTTTTCGTTTTGTGGACTCCGACAACGTGATTGTGAAATGCAAAGCCTTGTTTTGTCCTCAAGGGGATATGTGCCCTTCAAGTGTAAGAAACCTTTATATTTTTATGAAGTTGAATGTGACTATTTCATATCTTTATTTCATTAATCGCTCTTTAGTTTTAAGGTTTCGTCATGATATCCTTCATCAGAGTTTGAAATCATTTACGATGTCAACTGTTTAAGCTTTATATATTGTTTGCATATTCGGTGAAAAGCTCATTAGAGCTTACGTTTTATTTGTTTGTCAATATGCCGAATCAAAATAACGTTTACTTACTTACTTTTGCATTCAATAATATATTTTCAATGGAGGCAGTGCTAATGTTGCTTGTTTCTTTTAATGTCAAACATCTGATTTATAAAAAGAATTGGATGAGAGGAACTTGTTTTGATAGCATGTTTTACACTTCTCAATCCCTTTGCAATAAAATTGTACTAGAACTTCTGCACTATTAAAGTAAACAAAAAATAAAACATTATAAATTTGGTGCATCCGAAGCGCGTTTCTGGAATTAATTTAATCATGAACGCTCAACACAAAATTTGGAAAGCCATTGATGTATAAAAACCTCTGATTATCAATAAAAATGAATAGCGATATTTACGTGCATTATATGCATTGTACATGTGTTCTTCTATATGCAGGATAAGGAATTTGTATTATTTTTGAAAATATTAAACTTACTTATGAATATGTTTTTTTGAACATTCATAAACTGTTCCGTTAGCGTTTACTTTTATATCAAAGAATTGAGCGGGGAAAAAAATGTGCATTTGAATATAAGATATCTTTGGTTATTGTTTTTACAACCACTCGATGGATGCCAGTTATGGTGAAGCTTTTTTCCCGATCGTATCACCAGCCTAGTAGTCAGAACTTCAATGTCGACATGGAATATCGTTGACCCATATTCATAAACTAACTATTATCAAAATTTTGAATAGTTCGAAATACCCCTGGAATAGATTACATTTTAGCAAAATTTTCAGATAATTCCTTGTATGAGGTTTTGCCCTTAAATGACGATTTTTTCATTTTTATTTTGTTATTTTCTTTATAACTCTGAAATAGAGAGAAATTTTAAACAGTAAAAAAATTATCAGACATACTTGATGTACAAATCCATCAAATAGGGGAAATCGTCACTCGACTACGATTTGAGGTGCTACCCTTAAGTGACAATTTATACAATGTTTACTTCATGGTTCTTATCTTAAAATAGAAATTTTAAAAAAATTACGGGAACAAATATCAGCAAGACAAGATCTACATATACATGATATAACTCAACATGGCCTATATTGTCAATCAATTCCTCCGGTGCGATATCGCCTACGAAAGACTGATTTTACCATTAAAATGATCAGCAAAGTAAATCTACAAATACGCCAACTTCACGGATTTCGTCTGTCAAATCAGGGAAGGTTCATTATCTCCATTTAATTTCCCTAGCTGTAGTTGACGTCTCTGAGTAATGGTCCATGAATGGTGATTTTTACCTTCCTTTTGTTTGCACCATTTTCGGCGTTTTTGTCGATTACTATAGTTAGACAATCGCTAAGAAGCATCAAAATAAGATCTGCAAGTTAGTTTTCTTTATATATTAGTAAACATATCAACATTTAGTTAAAGTAAATCTATTGTTTCTGATATCTTTTCATAAACTATAGCACTGTGTGAATGGTACTACAAGCCGTAGGAAAAAAAGAAATGCCGGCTTAGAAACCGAATCTAAGAATGGTTACATAGAAAAACATATTTCGACTTATTTCACTGTTGTTGACAAAAGAATGGACACAAGTGCTTGTTCAGGTACATTGTTTTTTTATAGAATACATATATGATTTACGATTGTCTCTTCAGGTCAAATTCAACCGACACAAAACAAAAGATTTTAGTTACATCAATAGGTTTAAACGCATGTACGTCATTCTGAGATATAGAGTTACATTAAAAAGTGGATAGCATGACAAATCGCTAAAATTACTATCTTATTATCAAACTTAAGATAAAATAGCCTTCCATTTCTAATTAGAATGCAAATGCTAACATAGAAAGATAAGAAAGAAAAAACAAGGATTATACACATGTCCGTGTTTTTATAATAAAATTAAACTATTACAATGTGCTCTCCAATAAAATCTTTCACTAGGAAAAACAAACCAATTGCTTGAAATTTGTCAACAAATCAACACATCATTGTGCAAAATAACAACTGACTAAAGTATCGTTGTGTGTATAATGAATAGTTTAAGGAATAAATCCAATGTATTACTCCATGTATTTGTGAAGGCACAAAATGCGATTGAATTAGAACAACGTCAATTAAAACTCGTATTTAATTTCAAATATTATTAATTGCATACAGAATATCCTGGACATTTATTTATTAATCTCACATTTTTGACTGTTTACAAGGATTCAAATAAGAAATGTTCCCAATCATCTGTAAAGAGACAGAAAGTACTGATGGGGTAATTAGAAATCATTAGTCAAATAAAAGCAGCCAATACCATGGCAAAAAAAAACAACAAAAAGACAAATAACAAAACACCGCACAGGAAACTAAATATTGCGCAACACGAACCCAGCCAAAAACTGCAGGTAATCGCAGATGTTTTGGAAGGTAAATTGACTTGCATGCATTCAAACACTAACCAATTCATTAATTGGTATGAATACTTACCACCGAAATCAATGTAGAAATATTTATGAATACAACATGTTACACAAATTTTCTCATTTCAGGTACATTTGTGAGTGTTTTTACGTATGTCACAGCATTTGTATTGATGTTTGCGCTCATGTGAAACAGTAACGTATACCCCCTTTTAAATTCACAAAGAAGAAAAACATTTAAAATTTATGTATGTCATTAAATGTTGTTATTCGTGGCATGTATTTGTAATGTAAATGTTTTTGAATAAATGAATGTAAACAAATGTGCTGCTGTTAAATAAATAAACTAAAGCCGAACTTTGACGAAATATTGCACACACCATTTTTAGTCAGAACAATTAGAAAGGGTACTGTTATTTTAATACCACTGCTTCAAACGAGGGATATAAAACAATTACTGACTTTTGAGGAGGCAAATATGTGGTTTAATTGACTTTTGAAAAATCTGATTACCACTGAGGCCAACTGCCAAATTTAATATCAGCTTTTTCAAAGTTCAATTAAACCACATATTTTCCGGAACAATAGACAGTAATTGTTTTATTCGACATTCATAGAGCAAAAAGGGTATTGACATTTATTCATCAAAGGCAATTGTAAATCACACATTTTACAATAAATAAACACGTAAACCACGTGACTTCTAGCGTGGTGAATATCACTTTCCTTCAGGTAAAAATGCTGTTTTATTCACAATCTAATTCGTATATCAACACCTACAAAAATAATACCAATATGGAATAAACTGGTTTCCGTCCGTCCGTCCCTGTTTTCGTCCGTCCTTCTGTCCTATAAAATTGTAGTTGCACTTTTCTCAGAAACTACAAATAAACACTAAGTCTTTATGAATTGTGTTATAATTATTAATGTGAGCATGGTCTACAGTGTGATGTATTTTCAGATTTATCGCTCCTCAATTTACTGTTTACCGAATACTTCTTTAACATAATGGAGATGTACGAAATTTTCGTTGCATTGTTATCAGGAACTACAAATAAAGGCTTTCTGAAATTTGGAATCAACCTTCATGTGGGAATGCTATACTGCGATGCGTTTTTATATCCTTCACTCATCAATTCCCTGTTTGCCGATCACGTGGGTATCATTTGTGAGCAAAAGTTCACAGTTAAACTTGTTTGTCTTTTTGTTTTTTGGAATTTATTTCGTTTTGATTAACTGAATCTTCAATTCAAACAGCAATATGCTCTTATTGAAAAATAACAAAATAAACAAAACATGTTACAACAACCTTGATTCTAGAAACACCAATTGTATTTCTAATTTATCATACCTTCGTCGTATGATAGAAGAAATTAGATACCACTGTTTTTTGGTATCTTGTTGATTGTTTCCTATCTTTTTCGACACGTATGAAGCAGTATAAATTTGGACTCACAAACTACATTATTCTGGAGATATAAAATTTAAAGGTTTAAGGTATTAAAAGTAAGGAAAGCTTCAAAAATTCAGCCTTTTAACACTAAACGACTCGCACTCTAGTGTTTTAGTATCGTTTAGAATTATTTGTACAAAATTCTTCAACGTAGGATTCCGTTACCAGTTACTATTACATGTTTGCAATGCAATTTACTAATTGATTAGAAAGGGCCAATTTCCTCTCTTCTTGTATTTGGTCCATGTCCTATTCATGAATATTAAGGTTTCAACAATGTTACATATTTCCATATCAAAATGACCGAGATAAACCCCGTGTTGCGTAGTCCTTAGGTTTCTGTGATGTGTTTTACGGACTGTTGTTTGCGTTTTTATGAGTTTTGTTTTACTGGAGTTGTCCCTTATGTATGTTATAATGCACCTTGTCTTGTGTCGTTGATTTGTAATACATACATTATAGAGTTGGGCATTTTTTCTCCAAGACTTGACCTTTTATGAACCTTTTGTAGTCTGATGATCGAGATAAGAGGAACATTGGTTACATCTCACATCGAGTATTCAAAGAAGAAGTTAAACCCATTTAATATGTTAATGTATATTAAAAAAGAAATAAACTATGTTTATACAAAAAACGAATCATAAGTGAACAAAATGTCCTTAATCACAATTTGTAATGCATTTCTCTTATTCAATGTTTACTTATTTTGTGTTATATCTCGTCTTACTATTTTTAATCTGTACCACCTTTGATAAGTATTTAGTATGACGAAAAAATTTCCACTTTTGTACTCGTACTATGAATAACAATTTGTTTTTGTAAAAAATGTTTCTGTACTCCTAACAACAAAATTATTATATCTAAATTTAACTGTGTACGTTACTTTATTCAACGTCATTTTGTCCTAGGTTAAAGTTGTCTTTTTGACATTGAAACATCTTTTTTATTTATATTGTGTCATAGATCAAACTTATTCGTTCAGTGTATATTTACTTGTTTTTGTGTGTTGTCTTTTTGATCGAGTAAAGCCATTTCAATTGATATTATATTGTGTGTCTTTTTATGTTGTAATGTTATACCACTGTTTCAGGTTAAGGTGAAGGTTGGCGCCTGTTAAAACGTTTAAACCCGCTGTATTTTTATGCACCTGTCCACAGTCAGGAGTCTGTTGTTCAGTGGTTGTCGTTTGTTGGTGTGGTTCATAAGTGTTTCTCCTTTCTCGTTTTTTATATAGATTAGACCGTTGGTTTTCCTGTTTGAATTGTTTTACAGAAGTCTTTTTTGGGGCCCTTTATAGCTTGCATTGCTGTTCCGTGTTGAAGGCCGTACTTTGACCTATAATTGTTTACTTTTTACACATTGTTACTTAGATGGATAGTTGTCTCATTGGCACTCATACCACATATTATTTATATTAGTCAACACAAGTTTATCCAATGACATTACCATTGGTTAACACCATGATTATGTAATATAAAATCTTAATCTAGACCATGGTCAAATTTGCAAATATGAGTAACAATATTATAACAGGCTGTATACGTGTAATTAGTTAAAAACAACAGTAAAATTAGGTCAATAATAAAGCTAACGTAAGGGTAAGTCGTGCAACAATAATAGAACACAAACAATAGTAGGAATTAGAAATATACAACACAATATCGAAACACAAATAGAATGATAGAAACTAATATAAGATACCAAACTAATTATTTGGTTCGACAAATGCTCTCTCCGTCTACAACAGACATATCATTGGAACCCGAATCAAAATAGTTGGAAGGCCAAATCGAATACGAAATTGAAGATCATTAAATACAAAAAAAAACAGAAAAGTAGGTGAAGATTTGGGAAACAGAAAAATATAGAAATAATATAATCCATTAATTCAAAATAAAAGCAAATCATCATCAAATTAGTTATTCAAATAACTTGCCTTTATGTAAGTTTTAATCTGTTTATGAAATTTGATGTTGAGGACAGATCTATGGTAGCTTGTGTTAAAGTGTTCAACCTGCATAAAATATTTTAACATAATACTAATGACCGTTGTCTATCCTTATAAAATGTATGCTGATCTCTAGATCTGTTTTCGATTATTTTTCTAGTAAGTATGTCGTATTGCGGCCGAATGGTTTAGTAGTTCATCAACATTATCACTTGCATGTCAACACTTAGGTTGTCAGTTCGAATCCCGCACGTGGAAGGTATATTCGACTCCCATTTTAATTGACAGGGATTGTCAGTTTTCCTTAGAAGATCATCGGTTGTCTCCGTACACTCCGACTCCCTCCCCTTATATAGCTGGACGTCACAATAAATATAGCCAAATGTGATGAAAGTTGCTCAAAACCAACAAACAATCAATGAATCAACCGTTAATTATTGGCAACTTCTTTCTCCTTTTCTTTATATCTAAAGAAAAAGAAGGGTTTAGTGCAAACTTTTAGTTTTTCTTATCTTTTGAGGTTGCACCTTACTATTTGTATTTGTTTCGGTTAATTTACTTTATCTATTCGTAGGAAAAAACACTACCGCCAATCCTTGACATGAAGGTTTGGATGATATTCAGACGAACCATCGTTCTGATATTGTATAGATAATCGCGAACATTTTCGGTGTTTAAATTTTGTCGCATTATGCTGGTGAAATTAATTTCAATTATGTTTGTATATAGCACCATCGTATACTTAATCGTAAATATAACTGCGTTTTATTTCAAATCCTTCTTTTTCCATTTTAATTACTCACAATTCTTGAGATCCTACTATGGGCATGAATAAATCAAAATGAAAGTAATGATTTGTTCAACTATTTATTTATGAATTTCTTTAATTGTAAGTCATACCTCTTACTTTCAAATTTATCTATCTAATCTTGAAGGTATTTAAAGTCAATACCATTCTCTATCATGTTGACAACATGGAATTAGTAAAGCTATCATCTATTTATATTAAACATTTTAATAAATATTTATCGGAAGAAGGCATTATCAAAACTGATAACCTCTTCATTGATGACTTGACACCTTAAACTTCCGTGTATACTGTTTCCACTATATGACGGAATGTACACTATTATTCCCCTTGATTAAGTACTAGTACATGATCGCAAAATCCAACAAAACAAATATCATATTCATTTTTTTTTAATTTGCAAGAAAGAAATTTAAAAGCTTTTCTGCACATAAAAATGGATGATCTGGAGTGATGTTATATTTTGATAATTACAGTAAATGTATTTTCCATAAGAACCCGTACTTTTGATTGGCTGAAATCAATCGAGAGACATTCCAAAATAATATTTTATTCGCACTAAAATGCAACATTCATGACAGCATGAGGTATAATTTTATAGGGTTGTAAAGACGTTGATCGTGCTCACATTTTTAGTAGCGCTTCATACAAGTTGTGCTTCGGTCAACGTTATAACACACTAAAAATGACATAAAGAGGCATTCAAATCTTAAATTAAATCTGCGAACAAGATTTTGGATGCTAGAAACACACAGGGCTAACAAGAAAGAAAAATATCAAATGTTTGCTTGCTTCAAAATATTACAAGACAGCTCCATGATTTTTGTATGATAGCAAAGGTCTGAAACAGTATATTTGAAGTTGATTGCTATATAATTAAATTAGTATGAATTGTAACAAAATTGACATACGTTGATGTTAAAAATTAAGAATGGTCATATACACACACGCGTCTTTTACGAAGTCAAAGTTTTGTTTTCGTTTAAAACTGATGTACAATGATTTTAATAAAAAAAAAAATAAAAACAAAAAAAGAGGGATTTCGCATTACGTAAACAAAC